GTGCCTCTGCCGCCGCTGAGCGAGAAGAGTAATCAGAAGAGTCGGTTTCAAAGTAGCAGTGAAGGGATAAAGGAGAGGTGCTAACGTGGAGATCTTTCCCTGAAGTGCTTGGAACTAACTTAGCACCCATCCCAGTTTTTCGAGATCCACCCGAGCAAGGTGGGACAGCGACCGGAGGCCTGGGCGCGTGAATCCGACCCGGCTGGTCCTCGCCTTGCGCTGGGAGAGGTTTGAGGAGGTGGGACTGCCTTAGTGGAGCGAACTGGGTTTGGGATATCTAAGCCTCTGACCAGTTTCGACGATGGAAACAGCGAGGTATCAGCACCGAACGACTAAGATCATCCCCGCACCCACCCACAGCCACGCACCCCCACCCACACTCACCGTTGGAGGTGCTGGCATAATCCATCCGAGTTTTCAGCCACTGAGAGTTTCTGACCGAACAGGTTGTGCAGAAAGGCGGGAAGATCAAGATGAAATTGCTGGAGAAAGAAGGGTGGATTTGGAACGACTACTACAAGCCAAACGAGACAATTCCATCATGCAAAGATGGGAACACCACCGACTGCGTGAAGAGTGGCTTTGCGGTGGCCTTCTTCGAGGCTTTCGCAATGGGGGGGGTGGGGGGCTTTTGCTGTTTTTCCAGGTGAATTAACGCTACAACCATAGCAGAATATAGCAGAATTGGAATCAGAAACTCTTTTCCTTTCAGGTCCCAGAGAAGAGCGTTCTGACCGTCAAGTTGAAGGTGCAAGTCCCAGGAGAAGCAGATTTAAAGCGTTCTTGGCTCGTCGAAACCGCCGATGCCGGCTCGGGAGACGCGCAGGCGAGGATTGCTTTCCTTTACCAAAACCATTCGGAGTACCAGAAGAAGTGGCGGCCTCTCGACGCATGTTCTGTGCTTTGCTGCCTTTGATGTAGTCATGATGTAGCTTTTGATCACATTGTGCTGTTGTGTAAGACACAGTGTAATGTGCGGTCTATAAAAATCATGGAATGTAAATCAGGGTCGACCAGAACAGAATGTAGATGTAGTTTGATGTTCGAGTCTGTGTATGTATGTATGTATGTATGTATGTATGTATGTATGTATGTATGTGTGTATGTATGTATGTATGTATGTATGTATGTATGTATGTATGTATGTATGTATTATGTATGTATTGTGTATGTATGTATGTATGTATGTATGTATGTATGCATGTATGTATGTATGTATGTATGTATGTACGTATTGTGTATGTATGTATGTATTGTGTATGTATGTATGTATGTACGTATGTATGTATGTATGTATGTATGTATTTACGTACGCACGTATGCATGGATGCATGCATGCATGCATGCATGCATGCATGCATGCATGCATGCATGCATGCATGCATGCATGTAAACTTCCAACTTTCCACTTCTAAATGCCTGTGTCTCTGTGTTGATGACTCCTTTTCTCTTTAGTTATATATATATATATATAGAGGCATACATACACCGACATAAACCAGCTCAGATTCAGCCAAGGACAGGCGGCGGTTCCGACAACACCAAATTTACTTACGCCAGCGAAGATGAGAAGTTTGTGAACAAGGAGCTAACCATCCATGATATTGACTCCTCGAATTTCAAGCCAAATCTGGAAACAAATGGCAACTTGGCCCAGAGTGCCAGGTTTCGGGGTCCAGATAGCCGCGGCTGCTACTAGTAACCCCTAGCAGACCCACGGCTGCTCCTCAGTATCTTCATTTAAGCGAAGGATCCGCACAAATACGGAGGCTTGAGGTTTTAATGAGCTGATGTAGTTGGGGAATGACAGCTTAGCAAGACCATCCATAAGCGCAACTCACATTTCCTGAGTGGTTTACCAACATTCATGATAAATCAGTTGGTTTGTCTACAGCCATAGGCTATAGTACTAGTACTAGTACTAGTACTAGTACGACTACTACTAATTACTACTACTACTACTACTACTACTACTACTACTACTGCAACTAAACCACGACTACGACGACGACGACTACTACCGTACTACTACGTACTACTACGTACTACTACGTACTACTGCGTACTACTACGTACTACTGCGTACTACTACGTATTATAACGTAAGCTCAAACTATATCCTCCCGAGCCGTGATTCAACCCTCAGCTTCAATCCATGTAGCATGAGGCTTCGAGATGGACAGCACCGGTGCGCTGAAGAAGCCGCTGGATGAACTCATGCTTCCTGGCCTCAGAGGGTTTAGGGATCACGGCGTCGCCCCGAAAATTCGTAAGCCAGAATCCCTCAACCCTGACTCCTACATCCCGAAACCTAAACCCCAAACCCTAAACCCCAAACCCAACTAGCTTTGGCCACAGTTTCGACGCGCACCTGGGGAACCTTGAAAAGTTGAGGATTCCGGGAAGTCTAGGAGCTTTGGGGTGCGTCTTGGCTTTTCAGGCTCAGGAGCTTCGGAGAGAAGTTGCGGGGTTTAGGGGTTAGGGTTTTAGGGCTTTAAGGGTTTAGGGTTTAGGTCCGGGGTTTAGGGTTTAGGGTTGTAGGGTCTGGGGTTTAGGTCCGGGGTTTAGGGGTTAGGGTTTTAGGGTTTGGGGTTTAGGGTTTCGGTCCGGGGTTTAGGGGTTAGGGTTTTAAGGTTTAGGGTTTAGGGCTCAGTCCTCAAACCTCGACGCCCCCGACCTCTGGACTGCAGGCAGGATATGGAGCGCAAAGATGTGAAGCAAGAGTTCAAAACAGAAGTGGCGCCTTGCATGTCTTGGGAAGCACTAAGATAGGGTGTAGCGTAGGGGCTTTTCATTTAGGACTTTGGTCCAGGGCCTGATATTCATTTGTGATGGTTGAAGGTAAGTTGTGTTCGCCTTTTTGGTTGTTGATTTAGGGTTCGTGGTTTGGGGGCCTGCGTCTGTCGGCTTCATAGATCCGGGGGTCTGTTGCTACGCACATGTCATTCTTCCACTGGTTCTGTGCCTTTCGGCTTCAGGTGTTCTGTTTTTTGTATTTGGCTTCAGTGAGACAAGAATGAACCAGTAGTTTAGAGAATCACTTGGACAGCTTTTGACCGGTCGCTCCTGCACAAGATGTGAGTACACGCGTCGCATAGCTGAGTTGCCTGTGTGGTGCTCAGCCTCTGCAACATGTTGTTGCGTGAGGTCGTGTTTTGGAACCGCAACTGCTACATCAATACCACGGAGGCTATGTTGAACTTGTCCGATCACCTAAGCGGCGACTCTTGGCCGCATGTTTCTGTTGACGGTTTCTTAGATGCCTGTGGATCAGAATCCCAAAGTGCGAACCCTTGAAATGCGACTGTCCCTCAGGACAGATTCACTGGAGGGCTTTGCACCAGCGACCTCTTCTACAGTGGGTCATGGAACTCACCACGGCTGAATGGCACGAAGTTTGTTGGCCTCTACACGTGTGCCTTGACCACAACGCCGCACTGCTTGGGCAAGCCAGGGTTGAGCCAACTCTGAATTAGAAAACCTGCCAGAGCATCTTCTTGGCTACAAAACCCGTACCCGAAACCCTAAAGTCTACAGCCCCAAACACTAAACCCTAAAACCCTACAGTAAAACACAACTCTTCTTCACAATGCATTCGCCACCCTTGTTGTCTTCGCATCTCTTTCTTTTCACCAAGTCATTCGGAAGGCCAGAACGCAGGATGTTCGGTCCGGGCTGAGAACACTAGTAACAGTACTAGGTGTCATCGCGGTGATACATGGGGTTTCTTAACATTAGGTCCCGATTTCGGGGTGGAGGCTGTTGCTGGTCGTCCAAGCAAAGATTGAGTCTGGTGAATTCAGTGAAAGCTGATGGGTTGTTACTCTTCTTGCTTTTGTCGTTGATGATGATGAGATGATGTTGTTGATGATGATCAAAGCTTTGCATCACAACGGCTGTCATGACACCGAGCATCCCGGAGCTGTTTGCATGTTCCCAGTGGGACATGCCGGGGGGAGCCTAATGGCAAGAAGACATCCCTGAAAAAGCTTCGAAGCTTCAGTCCCAAGGCTTGCATCAGAATATACCATATCATACCACAATATAGTATAATGCACTATCATATACTACAATCTAGGATTTCCTTAGAGCACACGAAAACAGATTTTGGCGAGCTTTCAGCAGGCTGCTTCTTGGGAACGCTCGACTCTAAATGCCGTACCTTGCCACTTTCAAGAAACTCTTCCTCACAATTTCTGCAAGGGATGCGTGGCGACAATCCAATCGTATCTGTGCAAGAGCTTCTCTTCACACTTGTGCGTGGTCTCACGTGGAGGTGAGTGCGCTAGACAGCTCAGCACTGTCGTCACGAAGAGATGCTGCAGAGTATCACCGTAATTGTAACTATTGGGATTTTCAGAAAAATGGGGTCGTGCTGTTGTATGGCCATTGTCAAACCCGACCGTTGGCAACTTCCTTCCGTGTAGGCTGGCTTTTACACAGCTTGCAGCGAGCATATGGCACAGGTCAACCCGCGGAGTCGTATCCAGCTGCTCAGCTTGACTAGCGCATGCAGAGAAGCCCTTCCCTCAACCCTAAACCCTAAACCCTAAAACCTAAACCCTGAACCCTAAACCCTAAACCCTAAACCCTAAACCCTAAACCCGAAGCCCGTGGAGCTGGGCCCTTCAGATGAATTGCAGCGACGAGCCGGTGAACTTCAGCATGGAGCTCCCCCTGCCTGTGAAGCTCGTGTACGAAGAGCACTGTGGTGGCAATGCCGTGGACTACTTTTATTCTGGGTGTTTTAGGGGTTTTAGGGGTTTTAGGGTTTAGGTTTAGGGTTTAGGCTTTAGGGTTTGGGGTTTAGGGTTTAGGGGTAAGGCCGCTAGCAATTTAGCGAGTAGTTTCAAGGACGTGCTCGCTTGGAAAACATGGTGAAACATACAGCAACATGCTCTAGCAGGCTATGCTGTGCGACAACGTACGATAATATACTAGACATATGCAGTAATGAATGTACCATAGAGCCCTACAGTATCCTACAATTTACTGTAATGCACGGAAACCCTTACTATGACGCAACAAGCTGTAATATACTAGAACACATTACAGAATATACCGGAAAGATACTGTAACACATTCCTCAATCTCTTTATTACCCAATGTCCCACAGTGTCCTATGATATGTTCAATAAGTTCAATATGATGTACTGTCTTATCTAAGACTATGATATACCATAGTATACCAGGATTTGCCACAAGATACCATAGTATACCATAATATACTATAAGACAATATAGCTATGATATACTATAGCTGCTTATAGCACACTTAGATATATTGCATTGCTATATATACTGCCATACTATATCAGAAATTCGGCTGTACAGCCAGCATCAGTTTGTTCAGGGCAGCAACGAAGCTGGTGAGCAGTGCAAATAATTACCCAGGCCAGAGTAAACAAACGGAAGTCCGAACAATTGACCGCAGTATGACTCATGAAGGGAACTCCGCATACTGTAAGGACTTCTGCAATGGGACTCTGAACGCGTAGACGTGTTGTTGATCCTTCTGCGGCTCGGTTTGGCTGGCCGGCGACGGCGAAGCTGAGGAAGATGGATCCGAGCGAGACCATCACGACGCGTGCGTCAGCAATGCACACAGGTTCCGGCAGGGCTTAGGGTTGGGGGTACTTTAGCAAGCCCGGCATGTGCTTCGTCGGAATTTTCGGCGCCGAGGGGTTTTTGCATGATTCGACTTTGCAGAACGATTGGCTCAGGAGTTGGAGTTATTGTACAGGAGGTTCGATTCGGTCGGAATCTGCACTTGTCAATCCGCAAGCCCTGTTTTGGTCTTCTGCAACCTATCATTCTCTGCAAACAGTTTCAGTTTCTTCCCTAACATGTGTGAAATCCCGCAGGGAAACCAAGTGGAGTTCGAACAGCTGGCAGCATGTTTTACGCCGGCGGCCTCGTGGTGTGCTCTTGCCGAGGGATCAGACCGAGACATCGTTGCAGGCGCAGCATTCGCACTGATGGCACCCGAACAGCGGGCAGCAGCCTCGGATCATACTGCTGGCTTTTCCCGTGCCGGAGAAGAATGCAAGTCGCACCAACTCTGCAGGAAGAGGTGTGGAAACAGGTGAGCGGCGAGGACGTGGCAACGTGGTGTGATAGTTGCATGCAGCATGAGCATTCAAGGCTTCTTACACGGCTTCGGCATTGTTTGATTCTGACTCTCGCATCGCGGCTTTATGCTTACTTGAGCAGATCGCAAGCAACCCTAATTTGTGCCCGGTCTGGAATGCTCTGGGTGAAGTGTAGGTGTTTTGATTGGTCTTCCAGGTAGTCGGCTCCAGAACAGTTCGTTTCCAGGGCGAAATCGCTGAGCTTGTGGAGGCCATGTGCCGTTTAGCAGAGCAGTCCGACGCAGAGGTAGTGAGAGCAGTTTCGGCATCACCTCCGTAGACTGGGTATTCTGCACAGAACGCCGGGATCACTGCAAGTTAGGCAGAGTATAGCCACTGTATAATCCTTCCCCGTAAAATTAGACGGCGGGGACCCCCTCAATAAAAACTCGGAAAGCATTTTCATTTTTAAGGGGGATTTTTTCTCTGTTGTCATATTTGGGTAATCAGTTGCAATAGTAATTGCTTCAGTAGCAAGAATGACAGTAGCCATAGGAATAGCGATTTTTGGTTGTCCTTCGGAATTAAGTGACAGCCAGAATAACCGCAGAAAGAAACACAAAGACAGACCCTAAACCCTAAACCCTAAACCGATCATGCTGCGCTTGAAGCTTGACAGTGAGGCCGCTCGCACGGACAGGCTTCAATGGTGCTTTAGAGCCCTGAAACCCTGCTCCTTAATTCAGAGTAGGTGTTAAAGGGCAGGGCTGATTTCGGGAGGTTACGCCCCAATGTGTTTAAAAATATAGGGAGGGGTGTTTGCAAAAAGGGGGAAGCGACTCATCACTCTCTCTTGTAAGACTGCTGGTCGTTGATCACAGCTGAATTCCCGACTTCTTGCAGGTGATGAAGACGGCCATTGATCTGTCGGAGAAGTTGGTAGCAAGCGTGGAGAGGGCAAGCGAGGAATGGTGGAAGCGCAAGACTGGAACGGAGACCAAGGTGGGGGTGCAGGATGGAAGTCACACATGCCCATGGTAAGAGTAAGAGCGAGCCACGCTAGAATCGCAGTTGACATGCAGAAGCAATCGCAATAGAAGGACGGAAGGAAGACGGTTTTTCCTACTGTTCTAAGATGAGTGGTGCGGTGTATCAGCCCTCTTAATCCGAGTGCCAGGGGGCGTGCTTCTCCATGAACTTCCGCCACACCCGCTTAGGGATGAAGGGCCTGCCGATCGCCCACGTTGATGCAACAAGTGCCACGAGCTCAGACAATCCCAGAAGGATCCTTAAATCCAAACAAAGCGCACAACAGATTTCAGCAACATTCGTGCCCACGATTCGAGTTTGTGCTCACCAGTTCAATGATCAATGAGCAGTGCTGAAAAGGATGTGCCTGTGACTCCAAGGTGAGCGAATGGTTTAAGGAAGGTGGTGCCTTTCCCGCGTCCGCCATAACAGGATTTGAGGACAAGCTGGGCATGAACGTTTCCGAGGCACTGACGCTGGTCTCGATCTGTCTGACGGTCTCAGCAATTTAGTTGGAAGCTGCCACGAGAGAAATCTTGTTCTGTCTGCTCCGAGGAAGCATGCTGTTGTGACCTTCAATGAGTGGGTGAACGCGGGCTCCGACCCCATCCACGAGCTACCCCTGACCATCTTGGACACGTCCACGCTTGCCGAGGAGGACTTGGCCTGAGGTTCAGGGTTTAGGGTGCTATACTATAAAAACTGACACAACATACTGTGATATGCCACAAAATACTATGTTTTACGATAATATACTACAATATCTTATAACATAGTGTGATATACGATAATGTACTGTAATGTACATCGGGGATGTTTAGGGCTTTGGTGCCCCTTGTCCGATAATCCGCGACGCAGACCATCTGCTCGGTGAAGTTCTCTTCAACTCCGAGCATTAACATGGATGGATGTAAATCTAGTTTGTGCAGAGCTTTATTGCCGGAAGCTGATCTGCGACTCTCTCGACATATACCAGGCGAGGCGATTCCCTCAAATGGTGCGATCTCTGGTATGCATGTCTGTGCAAACTGTGCTCTTGGAATGTGTACAAACTCAACGTGTTTGTCGATGGCTTGTGCATATACTACATCCATGAACCCGTGGAAAACTTGCGAACAGCAATGCTGCCATCTACTTTAATCACTCTTGGAAAGCTTGTCAGAGTGCAAGGCAAAGCCCCACAACGCCCCACAACACCCGGCCCAATACGCTGGACCCTCCAACCGTAGCCGTAGCCGTAGCCTACACGACTCGTAACGCCCCTGGACGTTCAACCCAAAATCCCAAGCCGTAAATCCTAAAACCGTCAAGCTCTTAGTCGGCAGGATCATGCGCAAAGCATCAGTCGACGGCTTGTTCACCTTGATTCGTTCTTGACTACATCCGTGAACCCATGCAGCAGCAGAATTGCCATCTACTTCTAACGACTCTGCGAAATGACACGGCATGGTGCTCCTATTTAGACCTTCCGCCCAAATCCCTCAAACCCTGAAGCCCTCAAGCCCTTCGTCGGCAGGATCTGGAGACTGCCTGGGTTCAGGCGTCTTTGGATTCCATGAGCCTGAGATATTCACCGAAACAGAGGCAGCTGTTTTCGAGTGAGGGGATGGGGAAGGTTGGTTTAGGGTCTGGGGTTGAGGGTAGGCTCAGGATTTGAAGGGTTGGGAGACAGAGCAGTGTCAGAGGTTACTGGGTGATGTAGGGGAGACGTGCTTAGGACTGTGAGTTTGTGACTGGAACATAATGTGGCATATAAGAGTATTTCACAGTATTTTATAGCATATCATGGTGAATGATAGTGTGTCATAGCATTGGCTACAATGTGGCTTCGGAACAAGGAGGGCTGACCCAGGAACAGCAGTTGCCACTACTGCAAAGTATCGCCAAATCAGCAGTCGTCCTCGAGATGCAAAGTACATGTGGCTACACAAGTTGGTGCTTTTACATAAGTGTAGATGGTATTATACTACTATACCATACGAAAACGCAATATATTATACTATACGATATACGGGGGTATATACTATATGCTTTTTATCATGCACATTTGCTATACTAGTAAGCTATATACTATATACCGCATACTCTAGAGTATGTATATATGTGTATATATATGTATATACAGACTATAGACTATACACCTCCCGGGGACTAGTGTGCGTGGTTGCCGGGGGATGGCCTGGGGAGAGTGCGGACCCCCGCACCGGCACTAAGAGCATCTGCTCGATGAGCACCCCTCTCCCCGCCCCCAGTGTGCACTAGTGCGACAGTGCCTTTAGTCGCAAACTCGCGGTCGACCTTGTTCGGGCGAAGCTTGTTGGCTTTCGCGGCATGCATACCCCGGGCTTGGCAGGTGCCTACCCGCGTGCTGCTGTAACGACCTCTCGGTGGCGAAGCTAGTAGGCTTTCGGGGTATCCATCCCTCGGTGTGCGGAGGCCTACCACCGGGCTGCTGCAACGACCGCTTCGTTGCGAAGCTTGCTTCCTGTAGCTAGCCATTCTGGGTCATGCTTGCCTCCTGTAGTTACTCGTCCTCCGTCTACACGATCTGCGGCTGCAGCACCGGCGGATGGTGCGCAGCAGCAGCAGCAGCTGCTGGACGTAGGTGGGTGGGTTGTTTCGTTTGTGCTTCTGTTGGAGCACGTTTTTGTTTTGTCCGTTTTTTGTGTTTTTCTTTTTTCCTCTGCGGCTTGATCCTTAAGCCTTCGGGCCGGAGCTGATGTCGCCTTTGGACCGGACCTTGTCCTGGTCGCTCTCCACTCCACCCCACTCCGCTCCGCGACTATACACCTTTGACTATAGGCTGTAGAGTTTATAGTGTATAGTATGTAGCATATAGTTTTAGTTTTGTAGTATGTGATATATATAGTACATATCAGATAGTATTTTGTGTAAAATATATGGTATATAGTAGATTCTAAAGGCTATATACAATGAGCAATGAACATTTATACGGCTGCATTATGGCACAGCTACATCATTGACTATTTTGCCTTGATATCATTATACTGCTTTACTGTTCTACTACTATACTAGTATACCCTATACCCTATACCACAATGCTGTCTGTTGTTGTGATGTCCACTGGTTGAGATGCCGACTAGTCTCATCGCGCGGCCACGTGAGAAGGGGACTCGGGCTTCGTCAGTCGAAGTTGCTTAGGGTTTAGGGCCTGTTAATATAAAGGCCTGAATGATGGGAGTAGGGCCGGTTCCCCTTCACTACACGGGCTTAGTAAAGGAGCCTTAATAATTGGAATGGAGTTTGGGGGTATATTACAGGATGAATGTTGTAAGGAGCCCTAAGGAAGAGTTTCGCTAAGTATTCAGGCTGCTGTAGTAGGCTTTGGGGATTGAGACTGCGAGGTTTATGAGTTCGGGGCTGTTCGGCTTCGGGGTCTGGGGTTTAAGGCTTCTAGGGCTCAGGCTTCAGTACTTCAAGGTTTAAGGTCTTGTGTGGGGTAGGGTGTGAAGGAGATGTGACAGGTGCTTGCTTGAGCCAGCCTCCGTAGCTAAACAAGGGCAAGCCCCAAGCGCTAAGCCCGAAGCCCTTAAACCGTAAATCCTAAATCGAGCCCCCCAACCCCTCAACCCAAAGGGCAAGCGCTCTTCAGAGTTTCATATGCAGTCCTCATATGGAAGCCGGCCCTCAGGTGGTACTACAAAGACTCTCGGCCATTCTCATGCTCTTCAGGAGCGTCGGCCTCCATTTCTAGCCAGTGAGAAGCTTCGTAGTAGCCTTGTGTTGAAATGGCACTGCTCTAAAATAGGGGTCTAAATAGTTACCTATACTATTTTGGGGTTCCTTAGTATATTTATAGTGTAATTTACCACAAAACCCTATTAAAATTGTTAAGGCCCCTACATTCCACTTGAAGGGGTCCTGGGGCCTTGCTGCTTGCTAAGCTAGGCTTCTGTGGCAGGGGTGAGATGGGGGCCGCCTCTGCAATGAAGCCGCCATGTGCTCAAAAGTGGCGGCTCTTGCCACGGTATGTCCTGATACAGTCTTTTTCTTGAGTGAGAACCCTAAACCCTCAACCCCAAACCCTAAACCCCAAACCCTAAAGGCCCCAAACCCTCAACCCTAAGCTTCACTCCTTGCTTGAAGGAATTGGGGTTTCGGGAGCCCAGAATCCCGAAAAGCTCCGCGACCTTCCTTTCCAAGCACCTAAGGAGCTGGCCCGGGGTGAGGGCTACAGGCCTGCTGCTGCCGGGGTGAAGGAGTTTTGGAGTTTGGGGTTCATATGAGGGTTTAGGGTTTAGGGTTGAGGGTTCAGGGTTTAGGGTTTAGGGCTTAGGGTTCAGGGTTTAGGGTTTAGGGTATGATGGGTAGGGTTTGTGATTTGAGATTTAGGCTTCGGGGGTTCCGGGTTTTTCAGGGTAAGGAAGCTCGAAGCTCGGGTTCAGCTGTCGAGGCCGCTTCGGAGCCGAGTTAGTCACGGAGCATGACGCACAAAACTTCTGATCATCGAGGTCCCTCCTCCCCTGCGCCGTTGATTCTGGAGCAAACCACATCGTAGCAGTCTCGTAGGCCCTTGAGAAGACAGGTCGTGTCGCGAGACGTTGCCGCCTGTAGCCGGCTGTCACTGCGAGGGCTGTGCTGTAACCCAACGCCCTAAGAATTGATTTTGCAGTGCCCATAAGTCAGAAACCGTCCTCATTCGCATGCTTGGTTGGCCCGTCGACTCACAAACTGATGCGGGGCGCTTTTTGAGATCGCGGCGAAGCGATTTTTCGGAGCCCCTAAACCCTAAACCCTAAACCCTAAGCCCTAAACCCTAAGCCCTAAACCCTAAGCACTCCCCTAAGAGTTCTCCAAGCTCTTTCCGTGGCTCTTTGGCAGGTTCATCACCAGCCCGCACGAGGGACCCGGGGGGACACGCCCCCTGGCATCTTCATTATTGTGCGTAGTTTTAGTTATTATCCTAAGTTGAGGCCGGGGGGTCAGGGTTTTGGGGTTACGATGGTCTGGAGGGTTGTGGATTTGCAAAACCCTGGTACATCATCACGAAGAGCACTGGTGCAGGCTATGGGGGGACCCCCCACTCCGCCTTTCGCTTCATCCGGACGCTTGGCTACGCGATTCTGCCAAGCAGTCACAGCTGTAATAGCTCCGGCCCTTGCAGCGAATACCTTAGAACGAAATGCCACAGATCGCAATCTCAGCAGTTCCTACAACCCCATGCCAAGACGTCCGGGGGTGCGACTGGGATTTGCCTGAAAGGCCGAAGGGCGTGGATGCGGACCGACCTCGTCAGAGCTTTGAGTTCCGCTGCATCCTCATCGACCCCAACTGGACGTCCCCAAACACCAACGTCACGGGTCTCGCTGTGGAGCCGAGCGACGAGAAGGCCCAGCCATGGCTTGTGCGAGAGCCCGTCGGAGATATTCTGCCATGTAGTGTTGCTGTCCTGTTGCTGGCTGGTGCCATTGGTGTGTATAAATGTATCAGTACGTGCGTGGGTACGTGTTTGCATGTGTGTATATATATATACACACACACGCGTATACAGACATATATGTGTGTATATATATATACACACACGTACACACATATATATATATATATAGATAGATAGATAGATAGATAGATAGATAGATAGATAGATACACACATACACACACACACATACATGGTATGTTATATGTATACATGTATGATATATGTGTACATATGCATATAGAATGTATCGGTAGATGCGATATATATGGGAGTTTCCGAAAATGAGGGGTACCTTATTTTGGGGTCCTTATACTAAGGATCCTACTATTTAGGGTACTATATTAGGGTCCCCTATTTTCAGAGACTCCCATATATATATATATATGTA